TTCACATTGTGAAAAAGCAGAGGCGGTCCCGCTGAATCCAGTGGCATGAAAGATCAGAGGCTGACTGGAACACAGTAGCCCGGCCTTCTTGCGTTCGGGGCACCCCCTTGATTAAAACCTGCCTCTGTGTCGATAGTGGACTCCCGGATGCGTCGCAGTGTCCACAGTTGGAAGCCAATGACAAGGATGGGTCTGGCTTGGGGTTGTTCCAGCCTCCGGGTTCATAGACTGTTATTGATCTAGTTGGTCCATCCTGCAGGCCCCCATACTGCCCTGGCCTGAAAGCTTCCAACTCCGACCATCTGTGTATTCATCTCTACACTGAAAAAAACCTCTTCCACCCCACCCATTCGGTTTCTTCTGCCTGACCTTATAATCCACGTTGGCTTTTACACACAGTGCCACGGCCACCAAGCGAGCTGCCCCGCATCTCACACTCCTAAAGGGTTTTGAACCATTAGTTTTGTGCATTTTTTTAAAAGGAACCATTCCAAGCTGGAATTTTACATCGTCCGTCTTGCGTGTGTCGAATTGGGTTTTTGTGGACGTTCAGAGCAGCGCAGACCACCCGAAGGGGCTCTGCAGATCCTTGTTCTGAAGTCATCTCTTTTGTTCGTCTGTACTTCTGTAGCTGGTGTTGATTGGCATGTTTAATCGTATGTACCACACATCTCCAGACGTAATAAAGGACTCAAAGAGGTTTTTGTACATGCGCAGTTTGCATCTTTCTGTCAAGTGAATCAGCGCCCACACTGACTTTCGCTGAAATGTTTACCCTTGCTTCGGTTTTCACACGTTGTTGGGAGACCTACTTTGTCTGTTGAAGTTATGTGGTATCAGATAGAGTTCCACTTATCAGGGTAGTTTTTGAATATTGCTATACAGTGGTGAATCTGTTGGATCTTGGCTCCCTTAAATATGAGCCTGTATTGGTGGCCCAGTGCGGATACTAAATTGGTTCCAATTCTAGGACTGGTTTAAGGCTGCAGTACGGGGGCGGAGCTTTCCGTGGGTGGGATCCTCTCCACAGGTTCCTCTTCCTCTGAACTAACCTGGAGTGGAAAGGTAACTCAGATCCGCTTCCTGTGGGCACAAGACCAACCACCTCTGTCTGGCCTCCATGCGACAGAGCAGGAAAGGATTTTTCTCAGAGGCTTCTGCTCTGCAGACAAGACCTGACCACCCTCCTTCCTTAGGAACCTGCTTTCAGCTACCAGGTTTGGGCTGGAGCCACTTCCCTTCGCTCTGACCTGAACAGATTTGAGACAGGCAGTGTTCCATTTTCTGCCCATGCCTTTGGGACCAAGGCCCTGGCTCACCTGAGACAGCCTTCCTCATAGTAGAAATGGTAAGCTGTCATCTGTGGGATTGGGGAGACCACCCAGCGCTCTGCAGAGCCTAGACTAAAGACATCCTGGGCGCAGTCGAGGCTGCCGGACTAGAGTAGTTCATGAGGATATGGAGAAAACTTGAAAAGGTTTTACGAGGCGCCAGTCTAGTGTAACTCCTAGAACAGTGTTCCTTTGCTGGAGTTTCTCTTCAGTGTACACGTTGCCTTAGTGGTCACTTGTGGTCTTTGGCTAGAGCAGGACGGGATTCAGGTATGTGGGAGCCTATATTATAGACATGTTCTCTATGACTTTTTTTTTTTTTTTTCCGAGACAGGATCTCACTCTGTCACCCAGGCTGAGTGCAGTGGCTCAATCATAGTTCACTGCAACCTCCAACTCCTGGGCCCAGGCGATTTTTCTGCCTCAGTCTCTTGAGTATCTGGGACTACCAGTGCTTGCCACCATACCCAGCTAATTTTTTTTTTTTTTTCTTTGTAAGAGGTGGGATGTCATGTGTTGCTCAGGCTAGAGATTACTTTTTTGCAGAAAGCTTGTCAGTACAAGCCTTGAAGTCAGTGCAGATTAGAAAATAGTGTTTTCAGGATGCCTTCCCCTTCTGAGGACAATGCAGTCAGAAGTTAGGAGAGGCAGAGGGGATGATTCTTGCCTGCAAACAATGGTTTTTGAATATAGTTTTATTGGCCGGGCGCAGTGGCTCACACCTGTAGTCCCAGCATTTTGGGAGGCCAAGGCAGGCGGAACACTTGAGCTCAGGAGTTTGAGACCAACCTGGCCAATGTGGTGAAACCCTGTGTCCACTAAAAAAATAAAAATTAGCAGGGCTTGGTGGCACACGCCTATAGTCCCAGCTGCTCAGGAGGCTGAGGCAGGAGAATCACTTGAACCTGGTAGGCAGAGGCTGCAGTGAGCTGAGATCACACCTCTGCATTCCAGCGTGGGTGACAGAGTGAGACCCTGTCTAAAAACAAAAGTACCTCAAGCAGTCCTCCTGCCTCAGCCTCCCAAAGTTTTATTAAAGAGGAATCGTGGCCCACGCCTATAATCTCAACACTTTGGAAGGCTGAAGCAGGAAAATCTCTTGAGAGCCCAGGGGTTCGAGATCAACCTAGGCAACATAGTGGGATCCCACTTCTACAAAAAACGTTTAGAAAGAAAATGTCTTGTAATATTTTTATGTCTTCATGACGAGTGTTGTTTTGTTTTGTTTTTTTTGAGATAGTCTTGGTGTCATTCAGGCTGGAATACAGTGAGACGAACACAGCTCACCACAGCCTCGACCTCCCAGGTATGAGCAATCTTCCTGCCTTAGTTTCCTGAGTAGCTGGAACTACAGGCGCACACCGCCGTGCCTAGCTAGTTTTTTAATTTTTTGTAGAGGAGGGATCTCACTATGTTGCCCAGGCCAGTCTCAAACTCCTGACCTCAAGCAGTCCTCCTGCCTCAGCCTCCCAAAGTGCTGGGGTTACAGGCGTGAGCCACTGCACCTGGCCTACTGATTTTGTCAGTAATAATACAGAGTCATACAATTATAGGGTTGAATATTTATTTACAGATTATGTAGTCCAACCCAACCAATGATGAAATGGACTCCTTAAAAACATTTTTTTTTTTAACATTATAAAATGCCACACATCCGAAAGCCTAGTACATGAAACAAATGTATAGATTCATAAATTCTTACTTAAGAACAACTTTCAGATCACCCCCATGGTAAGAAATAGAAACTTGTCATTCAT